CCCCCCCCCCCCCCCCCCAATCCCCAAAAGTTTCTCAGCGGATTTGGGCTGTACTTAGCAAGTGGAGTACAGCCCCATAGTCAGATTTAGAAAAAAAACAGTGGATGGCTGTTTACTGACTGGTCGGCAGACCACCGACCGGCCAGCCCTACCAGTAGGTTGCAAAACCGTCAGTGGTCGGGTAGGCGGTCGGCGGGTATGCAACCCTGTATTCAAAAGAAAAAAAGGAGGAGGAAGGGGTTGCAGGCAAGAGGCGCAGAGAAGAGTAGTGGCTTCTGCTGAAAGACACCAACTCTATGTCTGAAGCAATGAGTAAAAATGCATATCGTTTCAATGGCAATGATTGTGATCGTGGTCCATGGCAAAGGACTTGGGATAGGAGTTTTGCTACCAAACTTATTGAAAGGGGAGCGGATGGAAGGATGGGAAAAGGATTTAGAAAAAAAAAGACTGGGTTAGTGTAACTTGGTAATACTTGGTATGTTGCAGCCTTCTGCAGGGAACGTTGATGTTACTTTGTGGGCTCTGGCTCCTGTGCAGGGCCGCAGAATTGGCATTTCCAATGGTTGCAGAGTACATCGGCAGGCATTATGGTCACGAGTCCACAGCCTTGGCAGACCTGATCTCAAGATATGAGGACCGGAGAGCTTTGTCTGCAACGGAAAACGGAAGGTGTAGTATGGAATCCCCATGCCTGTGTGTTGCTATAATCATTTCTTGCCGTCTTTTTTTATTTTGTGTGTGTGTGCGCACGCGCACTCGTGCTGTAACTATGGTATCACCATTTACAACAGAAATGAATCACAGCAATTTCATGCATTCCCCTGTTATTGTTCGTGTGTGCATGGAAGCTGAGAATTGTATTATTGTTTGTATGATTGTACGTTTCTCTCTCTCTCTCTCTCTCTCTCTCTCTCTCTCTCTCTCTCTCTCTCTCTCTCTCTCTCTCTGAGAGACTTTTTCTGTGTCTCCGACTCTCCGAGCCATTGTCCTCTCGTGAGGGTAAGAAAGAGTGTTCGAGTATGGATACCATTGTCCTCATGTGATCATCCTATAAAATCAATCAGAATTTGTGGGTTTATAATCCGTTTATTCTAATTGTTTGGCGACTGGTGGCTTACCATCTGGGAAATGGTTGGGGAGAATCTGTGAATTCTGCGAAGGTAATCCTGACTGGCTTAACTATGTCAGAACATAAAGTGAGTTCCAGGAGCACAATGAAATATGGTCTGACAGATTTGTGCGAGGAAAATAAGTAACAGTGAGATGACAATTCCAGATCACACCATCACATTGAAAGCCAAATAGTCACACCGTGTCCAGAGAGCAGCATTGCACCAATAATACACCAATGGAGGTTCGT